TTTTCAAGGAATGACGTTCAGTAGTTTTTTCATGTAGAAAATAAAATATTACGCAGGAAGACTGCAACGCCGCAAACCAAATTATGCATTTCTGCAAATCACCATTAATATTTTTCTCCGTAAATGTAAAAAAGGGGATGAACGGCTGATGGAAGTATTATTTGAACACATGTCCTTGTCTCAAATTATTCTTTGAGACCTAGGTACAGTTTTGATGGATTGGTGGCTTTAACCACGAGATTTCATTTTTTTAACGCAATGGACCACTAGCCAAGGTACGAATTTAAGCAATCTGATACATGTTTTTTAACCAAAATTTCACATAAAACACCGCTCACGCAACGAAAATGACTAAATCCAACTCTCATTAAAGATATTAACGTTTTTATTACACATTGGTTACGAGGAATTTGAACTGCCCGCTCACAAGAAACTCAAAGCTCTACGTAAGTCAAATCGCGCACTACAGCGGTTTCAGCAAGCATCTCAATCGAGCAATGTTCATTTTCCACCATGTGTTGTTCAAAATATAAGCAATTTGCTATAGCTGAGCCAAAGCGTCAAGATCGAGGTTGCCAGATTTTTATATCACAGATACTGTCATGATAATGTTTAGCGCGCGATGTGAATCACGTGGAGCATTGAGTTCTCATTATAGCGGGTGGTTTGAATTCACGCACCAAGAATCACTAAATATCTTCGTAAGGAGTTAATTTCAGTAATTTTCGTTATGTGCATCGTGTTCTACGTGAAATTTTGGTTAAGAAATATGTATCAGAATGCTGAAATTTGCACCTTGTCTAGTGGTCCACTCTGGACGGGAATATTACATCTATGTCCTAATAAGAGATCTTCTTCCTACTCAGGAATGGGTTGAATGGAGAGCCGAAGTAATAGTAGCCACCTAGCTCTGCAAAATCACTGGTTGCAGGTAAGGAGCCATCTGTTGAGTGCAGCGCTTTTGTAAGTTTGCCATTTTTGTCATAGAAGAGAGCGGTGTAGTGATGGTTTTGAATGAAAACCAAAGCTGCGTCCAAATGCTGCAACTGAAAAATCCAAATTTTAAAAGTAAATCATACTTGTCCATCATAGGTCCAGGTAATCCACCAAATGGTTAAAATTTGAAATGCAGGGTGATGCAAGGTTAATAGGCCAGACTAGAGTCCCTTTATACTGAGAGTCAAGACAATGCGAATCCATTTCTGATTGTTTAACCGGATTTTAGGCCTTCTCAGTGTCACAAACGGGAATAAAGATTACATTTTCACCAATTGCAAAGATTATAATCTGGATTGGACCGGAGAATTACGGGTTCGGCAAGGAACAAACTGCATGAGAGAAGGAACGGAGAAAGGAATTAAAGAATGAGCCGATCAAAGATTACGAAAAACGTTCAATTTGTGTAATCTTTATTCCCGTTTGTGACTCCATGAGGGGTGTTGTCTTGACTCTCAGGGACTCCAGGCCAGACTGCAGGAGCGTCTTCTACGGGTCGAAATAAGACTATTTTGTTGTGTAAAGTTTTTTTTTCCGAAAGAGCCCTCGGTCGGAGCTATGGCCCCCAAAATTTGGTTATAGGACATTTCGTCAACGATTTTTTGTCCCCGCACCTGTTTTTCCCAGTAGTTTACGTACACGCGTTTTTTCGGCACGGGAGTTTTGGTCCACGTGCCAGTTGAGACCCAAAGTTAATTGGCCCTCATGTAAAAACTAACGACAATTGCTCACGGCGTTTTTGGATGAAAATATATAATGTCTTGGAAGAATGAGGGGTTGCTAGGTCTTTTGTTTTGTCTGTTTGGTCCAACGGAGAATAATATATAGTTGAGAGTTTTGGTGAAAATGGGGGAGCGTCAATTCCATGAGTCAAAATTCCCCAAAACTCTCTACACCTCTTCGGTGTAACATGACTAGATTATCTTTCAAGAAATTCCCACCTTGTTATACCTGAACCGGATAAACCTCTATATTTGCCTCAGCTAAAGGCTCTTAGATTTTTCCTGTGTACGATAAGTATCTTGATTTATTTTGCGAGGAAAGATCTGTACTTTTAAAGGATGCCTGTCGTTCTTAATACGTTCAAATTCGTATAATAATGTGCAACACCTCTGTTGTGAAATAGTTGCTTCAGGCGCCGCCGCACGGAGGGCGGGCGGCCAGCGCAAAACGCGCATTGGCGCCTACAAACCTGAGTGGATACTTCAAGCATTGTGCAATGCGTGAAGTATCCACTTAGGTTTGTAGGCGCCAGTGAGCCTCTCGCGCTGGCAGCACGCCGCGCCGCTCCGCTCTGTTCGACTTTAATATTTATACTCGCATAGTAAGAGTTTTTTAACTCATGATTTTGAAATGTTAGCACACTCTGCATTGATTATTCGTATTTAAATTGATGGAAAAAAATATGTATCAATTTATCGAAGGAGAATAATAATATAATGTGTGTTTTTTAAATATTGGTGGTTCCGTGTCAAATTTAATGATTTCCAAAGCATTTCAATTTTTTCTTTTACATTTTGTGCTTTTATTGTCCTGCAGCGAGGTGTACGCGCAACGAAACGCTTTAAATTTGACGTATTTGACTCTAAAAGATCGATGTACATATGGGTTAAAACTAAAGATTGCGTGTTTCTTGGTTTTTCCATCTTTTATTCATTTTTGCAGTTTCTGTCGGCACAACTGCGGCTCATTGAGATTAATGTCGCTTGGAAAAGGTTTTACAAATATTTGTCACGTTTCAAAAATATAAATGTTTTCGAAATGAAGTAATAATTTCGTAAAGAAAAAATTAAAAAAAATAAAAAAAAGTACCTATACACATATAAGGTATATTGTATATCGAATATTTTAAGGATAGAAATAAAACCAAATATTCACCAATGACAATTTAAAAAGATGATTCAAAAGGAGAAAGTAATAACATTTCATTTAGAAAATCAGCAACCATAACAACACCTCCTTCTCTCTCAATTTCTCATTTCCATATTGTCAGTATAATTTTACATACGGACTAAAATATAACGCTTGGACCAAGTCACTGTTGCTTATTTTACTTGTGGGCGTAAACTGCTGGACAAAAAAGGTGCGCGGACAAAAAATCGTTGACAAAATGTCCTGAAACCCAAAATTTCGGAAAGTAAATTGTTTTTCCTGAATTTTGGCAATAGTTGTGAAACAAATCTCATGAACATTTGTAATTTTCTGTACTTTTATGCACTAAATTCATAACTGATCTAAAACAAAGTAGAAATCTCAATTTAAAGAGAGGGGGTTTGGGGGTGTTTTGGCTCCTGCAGGCAGGCCGTTTAACCCTGCATCACCCTGTATATCGATCGCACCTAATACGCATCGCGCGAAAGCTGGAGATCCACTGCTTAAATCTCTGAAAATTTGAAAAGCCCATAGCACGGATGTGCACCAACCCTACAACCCGAAACTCATCAAGGTTGCAGAATCCTTAAATTAGCGGATTAAAAAACTTCAATAATCAAATACAAAATTATTCAATGCCACACCAAAGGGTGTGAAGGAGTTTGTTAGTAAAATCGTTCGAAAAAAAAGAGGAAACCATTTATGAGGTAACTGAATGTACCCGGCGATAATTTTCAAAGTTCTCACTCGTAAGGAAACTATGGGTAAACATTTAAAAATACGACATTTTCTTGCGATTCCTTAACGGTGATCTTTCTTTTCCCGAGAAAAGCAAGCAGTAAAACTTTTCCCTAAAACAAATCTTGACACATTACGAAGCAAAAGGATAAGGTTGGCGTGTCGGTACAGTGTGGTACATGCCGTCAAACAAAACGTTATTCGGTGGCACCGTATCCTTGACTAGAAAATCTTTCAAAGGTCTCGATAGACGATCAAATTCCCGAATCAATTACCATCAAAGCGTCGGGAGTCATCGGTCTTAAACTCATTAATTTGCTTAGTTTTAAAATGAAAACTTGGCAGAAATGTTTCCTGAGGCAGGAAATGGTGAATGGTGGCACTCCATTCTGATCTTACTTTGAACAAAATAGTGCGGCCCGTCAAAATTTGATGGTAGATGGTGACCATCAGTCATCAGCATGTCTACTTTGATCGAAATTGGTTCGGAATTGGATCGTCTATCCAGGGCTTAAGTATCGCTAAGGTGGCCGGATGACTTGTTGACCACTCACCGGAAAATTTTCTACCGTTAAGGTGACTTCACCGGATAACTTTTTTTTGCCGCAAACCGGTAAACTTCCTACCGCTAAGGTGACTTCACCGGCAGGGCCGGATTAAGGGGGTGGCCGCATGGCGGCAAAATTAGGGGGCGGCAAATTTTGCAATTTTTTTATATGCAGGTACAAAAAAATCGGATTCAGGAAAAAATACAAACAAGAAAAGGTGACAAAATCTCTCATTTCTTGAGAGTTCATTAATGTCTAATTTTGTCGTATTCCGGTGATACAAAAGACTGCAATGCGCACCTTTAATTAGTTGAGTTAAGAGAGAAACCAAACACGTAATTTGACCTGGAGCGGCGCGGCGCAAAGAGAAATGATGACGAGGACTTGAGATGAAAAGGAGAAGCCCTCGACGCGGCGATCGGCATGTAACACATATTAGCGCCTACGAGACTGCATGAATACTTCACGCATTGCGTCAAACACAGTACGGTCAACAGCGGTCGGCGCGATGCGGTGTGGCGTGAAACGCACGGTGCCTACAAGACTACATGAATACTTCACGCATTGCGCCAAACACAGTGTGGTCAGCGCGGCACGGCGGTGGAAGTTAAAATTATTGTCATGGGAACGGAGTTCCCCATGATATTAGAATCGTTCCGTTGCTTTCGCTATGGAATTCCCTATACCTCTGCGACCTTGAGCGTTTCGCCCAGTCTCCGATTTTTGGTCGATTTTCCGATGTATCAAAAACCGTTGTATTTTTTAGCCAATCATGTCTCTACGTCAAGTTGTGTTGATTGCTAAAATTCGCTTTCAGCGAGTTTTTTNAGTATCATGAATAGCATCTTTGGTGTTTTTCTTCAGGTTTTATTTTTGATGAAGGATCAGTTGAATTTGGTGAGTCATGCCCATTATATTTTCCTTTTGCATGCAAATTCACAGAAGACCGTACTTTTTTAATAAATTTCATAGACATTTCAATAATTCCTTTCATTTTAAACTTATAAAAAAATTTGACGTATTTCTGCCAAAAGGAACTATGTGCATTAAGACATAAGCCCTGAGACTCATAAGACTTTATGCATAACAGAGCTCACGTCATAATGCACTTAGTTTTGTTTGGCAGAAGTACGTCCAAATGTCCATAGGGGCACATCGTAAATTGGCCTCAGTGGGAATCGCACCTCTCATGATTCCCCATCAGATTTGTCCTCTCTACGGGGAACCGTGGTTTTTCACAGGCCTGAATATCATGTGCCCCCATGGGACGTCATTCCCATGTGCTCCCATGGGGAGACCTCGTTCCCTTGGGCCCCCATGGGGAGGCCCCGTTCCCATGGGCCCCCATGGGGAGACCCCATTCCCATGGGCCCCCATGGGGAGACTCCATTCCCATGTGCACCCCGGAGTAATTCGCGTCCCAAAATACCATGTGCCCCCGTGGGAATTTTTCTGGATATTGCACATGGGACATTTTTAACAGGGATGGTTTTGAATGAAAACCAAAGCTGCGTCCAAATGCTGCAACTGAAAAATCCAAATTTTAAAATTAAATCATATTTGTCCATCATAGGTCCAGGTAATCCACCAAATGGTTAAAATTTGAAATGCAGGGTGATCCAGAGTTAATAGACCAGACTGCTGCGGGCCGATTATTGAAATTTAAACCAGCCCGATAAGACATCGAATTGCGATATATTGCACGGCTAAGATAGGGCTATGTCTTGTCGTAAGCGGCGACATGGAGTCGATGACATTTCAATAATCGCCCCGCAGGAGCGTCTTCTACGGGTCAAAATAAGACTATTTTGTTGTGTACAGTTTTTTTTCCGAAAGAGCTGCCAGTCGGAGCTATGGCCCCCAAAATTTGGTCATAGGAAATTTCGTCAACGATTTTTTGTCCGCGCACCTGTTTTTCCCAGTAATTTACGTCCACGCGTTTTTTCGGCACAGGAGTTTTGGTCCACGTGCCAGTTGAGACCCAAAGTTAATTGACCCTCATGTAAAAACAAACGACAATTGCTCACGGCGTTTTTGGATGAAAATATATGTCTTGGAAGAATGAGGGGTTGCTTGGTTTTTTGTTTTGTCTGTCTGGTCCAACGGAGAATAATATATAGTTGAGAGTTTTGGTGAAAATGGGGGGGGGGGGGGGNTCTACACCTCTTCGGTGTAACATGACTAGATTATCTTTCAAGAAATTCCCACCTTGTTATACCTGAACCGGATAAACCTCTATATTTGCCTCAGCTAAAGGCTCTTAGATTTTTCCTGTCTACAATAAGTATCTTGATTTTATTTTGCGAGGAAAGATCTGTACTTTTAAAGGATGCCTGTCATTCTTAATACGTTCAAATTCGTATAATAATGTGCAACACCTCTGTCGTGAAATAGTTGATTCAGGCGCCACCGCACGGAGGGCGGGCGGCCAGCGCGAAACGCGCATTGGCGCCTACAAACCTAAGTGGATACTTCAAGCATTGTGCAATGTGTGAAGTATCCACTTAGGTTTGTAGGCGCCAGTGAGCCTCTCGCGCTGGCAGCAAGCCGCGCCGCTCCGCTCTGTTCGGCTTTAATATTTATACTCGCATAGTAAGCGTTTTTTAACTGATGATTTTGAAATGTTAGCACACTCTGCATTGATTATTCTTATTTAAATTGATGGGAAAAAATATGTATCAATTTATCAAAGGAGAATACTAATTAAACAAGAGGAGAACTAATTAAAGTGTGTCCAAAACGCGATCACGAAAACATGCAGAGGATAGCACTTGCGGCTGTTTCGCCTAACAATATAGCCTAGCATGATAATAAAAAATACCCTTTTTATGTAATGGAAATACAATTGGTCGATTTTTAATCATCCGAACAATTTCTAGGAGTCTTTCGGATGATTGGTGGCAATTTGAAGAAGAACGAAAGCCTCTTTCAATAAAATTTCCTGGTCGCCCAAGTAGCATTTTTCAACGGAAAAATCGCGAAATATTGCGATTTTATCGGCGATAAAATCGCTAGGATCATCAAAATCCGAGCGATTATCCTCGATCTTGTTGCAATAAAATCGCGATTTTATAGCACGGCAATTTATCGCGATATCATCGAAACAAAAATCGCAATATATGGCGGTTTAATCTCGGTTTTATCGACGAAAATTGATCGCGATTTTATCGAACCAAAAATTGTAATGCATAGCGATTTAATCGCCATAAATCGCAATTTTTTATTCGATGGTATTGCGATAAATTGCCACCGATATAATCGCGATAATCAACCGATAAAATCGCTATTTGTCACGATCACTGCTACTTACTTGGGCAGAAGCTTCCGAGGCCCGTTTTTTCAAAACTTCATTTTCGCACTTACTGCTCTCTTCGCTATCACGGCAGAAAGGATAAAACATGGAGGTAAAGATACGTACGTGGTAGAGAGCAAATTGTACAGCAGAATTTGGGTAGGCATCGTACATTTTCTGCAAAGCTATTTCGCTGAGAGCTATGACCCGTGCGAAGAATTTCCGGACGTTTGGAAAGGGAGCTAGCGCTCCAATCATGTCCGGGGATTCTCTGGAAATGAGCGCGTTAACAACGAAACCTCCATTTTTGTACGGTGAGATATTGTCAGGGTATCCTGGCAGATTGTCGATAAAGATTTCAGCTGTACCCTTCTTCGGTCCTTTCAACCAATACCTAGAAAAAACAGAATCATAGTAATATAAGTAATATAAAAATATTTTGACACACGAATATATATCCGCCATGCAACGCAAGAACGCTGTAAACGCCATTTTACATTTTTTGGTAAACAACGTATCATAGCAGAAAAACATGTGTGTCTGAAACAATGTTTTTACAGAATTCTTTCGCAAATATTGTCAAGAACGTAACCTGCGAAAATTTGAGGTGCATGGGTAAAACAGTTTTTATTTCATGAAGTGTTAAGTTCCAAAAAACGCGGGGAAATCTTGATGGATTTACGGCGGATTTTCTTGCTTAGCACGGCAGATATACGCTGGGGCAGAGAATTATTCGTGGGTGTCAGGGCCGAATGAAGGGGGTGGTCACATGGGCCGCGGCCCATGGCGGCAAAAGGGGGCGGCAAATGTTGTAATTTTTTCAAATGTAGGTATCAAGAAAAAAATCTGATTCAGAAAAAAAATCACAAATGAGGGAAGGCGAAAAAAAATCTCTCATATCCTGAGAGTTAAAGTATAGTAATTTCTAATTTGTTCGTCTTTCGGTGATACAAGAGACAGCGCCTTTCATTAGTCTAGTTGAGAGAGAAACCAAACACGAAATTTGGCCTGGAGCGGCACGGCGCTGAGAGCAATGGAAAGTAGAAGCCCTATCGGCGCACCGGTCAGCATGAAACAAATATTAGCGCCTACAAGACTGCATGAATACTTCACGCATTGCGTCAAAAACAGTGCGGTCACTCGGTCAGCAGCGGTCAGCTTGAAACGCATAGCGCCTACAAGACTGCAGGGATACTTCACGCATTGCGCCAAACACAGTGCGGTTGGCGCGGTGGCGGAAATTAAGATCATTAGACCACATTCATGTTTATTCTTATTCATAATTTTTTCGTTCTTTTCTTTTAAATGAAAGGCATCGTCCACACAGAGATAAGTCTACGGAACTTAATTTTCGAGCAAAGTTCCGTGAACTTTTGCTAGCGTTGACAGGGCTTTCACAAAAAATGTGCAAAACGCGAGTAAACGCGTCTTATGTACCCCTCCTTCTCCGGCACGTTCACCTGATGGTTTCTATGGATGTTTCAAAACGAATGAGATGGGGCGGCAAAATACAGGTGGTGGGTGGCCCATGGGCGGCAAAAAGGTAAATCCGGCTCTGGTGGGTGTGCAATATTGATAAAATCAAGGATAAGTAGGAAATCTGGAGTCCCCGGACCCCGGGTCCGTTTTCACTATCAAGTGGATACGCTACATTTTGAAAATTCGGAACTAAAATTGCTGGCTCCTTGATGAAATCACTTAATTGCTTTTAGAAAGTGATGGTACACACGTTGTTTCTAAACTGAGACAGAGGTTGCAGTTCCTAATTGCAAAATGTAGTCCAAATGAAGTGTGGAAGTCTTCCCTGCAAATTTTGGTAGTGCACTGAAGAAAAAAAAGATTGGTAGAATTTACCATTCTTTCACACTGTATTTCACACAACGTCAATTTTGCTTTAATTCTGCCAGAAGTAAGGTAAACGTTACTATATACTGGTACAGGTAACCATTCCTCCGGCGGGATTGACACGAAGATTGGTAGAATTTACCATTCCTTCGCGCGGTGTGAAATACAGCGTGAAGGAATGGTAAATGCTATCAATCTTTTTTTTCAGCGTGTTCGACCCTTTCAAAACGCCATCTGAGACCGCAGTCTGGAGTAGGAATGTAAAGCGGTATATTGCGAAAATTAAGGTGAATCTTAGGTTTCCACCTGTCTCAAACTACTTACATGTGTGTATGAATGAAGGAATTTTGTTAGCATCCTAGAATGCGAAGATCAAGCTCGCAACCATTCGAACTACGAATTAGGCATGTGATGTGGTATCACGTGAAAATGAAGGATAAACCCTAGCCTTTCACCAGTCTCATCTCGAACTACTAACGTTTATGAATGGAGGCATTACTCCGGACTTGGTACGTGATGTGGTATCACGCAGAAATGAAGGAAACCCGTAGCTCCTCTCTTGTTTCAAATCAGTGACGGTTATAATACATATGGACTGCATTTTGCAATTTGGACCTGTAAATTCTGGCTCATCCGAAAAACCACTTATGTGCATAGGAAAACTAATGACACATACGTTGTTTTTTAACGGGGCCAGAATCTACAGTTCCAAATTGCAACATGTAGTCCATGTAATGTAGGCATCATACTCGCATCGTTGAATTCGGAAATCAAGGACCCAACTCGCAACTATTTGAACTTCGAGCTACGTATGTTATGTGGCATCACAAGGAAATGAAGGAAAATCTCAGTTGTTCTTATGTCTCAAATTAGTGACGGCTATGAATAGGCATCATGCTCGCATCGTTGAAGCTGAATGCAAAAATCTAGCACGAAACTATTCGAACTATGGAGTACGTCGCCCGTCCCGTGGGCCGTAAAGATTTTTCCGCCCCCACGACTTACCAACTGGAGGGAGGGGGGGGGGAGGGATTCGTGCCGTTCGGAAAAAACGGACTCAACACATTTCTATTTGCAGATTTTTAGACTGTTTCATTGCAGTGGGAATGAAAATGAGGGAATTACGGGCCTATAAGGAGGCGCGACACAAGATTGGGCCACGCAGCGGCCAGGGGGCGGGCGTACCCCCAGCCATAATACAGGCTCCACCAGTCTGTCCTCCTCCCTTCCACCATATCATCTAAAAGTGAGCAGAAAGTAAAAGTTGCCTGGGACTTGAGGATATCAGTCATGCATATTAAAAAGAGATAAATGCAGCGGTCTCCAGACTATCGTTGATGGGGCGTTGCACTGGTACAAAAAAAGTCTTGTTCTTATCAATCTAAATTCTAAATGTAGAGGAAGGGGAGACCTTGAAAGTGAGACAGAAGAATTGAGCTATGTCCGTGAACTTGCTGATTTGTCTGACTGTTCAAGTAATAAGTATCTGTAAGATAACGCCATACTTAGCGGTGTGTATACCTGATTATCATTTCAAAACAGCAAGCTCACTGATAAATATTCTATAGAGCGACTACGGTGCTCGAGATAAATGAAATCCAGAGTTCATAACCTTCTCACTAACATTGTGAATGAATATTAAACCAATATTTTAGGTACTCGATCCGAGAAGTTGATCCGCCCAGGTACAAGAAACGCGCAACATGTCGCATTGCTCAAGTCAAAAATCTTTGCAGATTTTGACTTCAAAAAAATAAAACAAATGACTGAAAACAAATTAAATTAAAAATTGAAAATCAACGACATTAAAAATTAAATTAATTAATTATTAGTTCCCGCCTCGGAAATGAGCTTTACGAGTGATTACTCAATCGCGAAAAAAATTGCAAAATTCGGAGAGGTCATATAATAAGGTCCAGTTACACGATAAAATTGAGCCATCAAATTGATCGTGTAACTGGACCTACAGGATTCGGCTACGAAAATAGTATGGCCTTTAATACAAAAATCAATCGCTGTATCAGATGCTGTCTTTTTTTCGAGGCAAAATCCTGGTTTCATTCCGTGAATTTTTATTTTTATGGAGGCACATCCTATGGTTCGAAACATCGGTTTCCTGGTAGGAGCCTGGGTACCAAGAAACAACCAGTCCATAATCAGGAAAGGAAACCCATCTCCCCTAAATACCTACGTGGTGCGAAGCAAAGAAATGTATCCTCTCCTTAGCAACTAGTCGGTGCAATGGAGAGACAGGTTTTCTCTCCTGAGCAACTAGTTACTGTTTGGAAACGGATACATTCCTCTCCTGAGCACCAAGTAGTTGCTCGGGAGAGAAAACTTTTCTATCGAAAGCAACTACTCAATGCAGAGGAATAAATCACCACGTTATCTACTCACCTGGTATTTTCAGAATGTTAAAGAAAAAACACATGTTTTAGTGATCTATTCTACCGCGCTAAGTAAAAACGCCGAAAACCATCAGGCATTGCCAAATTTCCCTCGACAAATCACGAATTTTTAGGGAATTGTGTACATATTTCTCTTCCGATTTTTCAGAAGATTTCGTTCGTAATTTGATCTAAAAAGTTTGAGAATTTCAAGGAAAAATAGTCATAATATCCTTCATAAATAAATATATTCTAAGAAGAAATTTGGCAACATCCGAATGTTCTTACGGCATTTTTCCTACCATTAGTCTCACCTATGAACACGGCTGGCAAACGTTTCTGCTACAGCTACGTAGGACTCATCATCTGCCAAGAAAACTCCGTTCGCAAAGCGCAGGCCTTTGACTAAAACTTCGCTTTTACCAGTTTTCAAATTCGTCCTTATCAACCTGTGAACATTAGGCACAATAAAATTTACGCCAACAATGAATGAATCAGTGAGTTCGAAAACACACCAACTTGGGTTCTTTTTCGATTTTCACTTTTTTACGGTTTAGTAACACTTATGGATAGAAGCATCTGCACGCAAAAGGATATTTCGAAATTGCAATCGAAAGTGCTCGAAACAGCGACGGGAAAAGGGAAAAATCGAAGTATTTCATTGGAAATACCAATTTTTGGCCATTTCAAGGGAAACGGGTGACCATCCGATTTTGCGGTTTTCTTTTTTCGGTTCAGTATACCTTGTGCCAACAAGTTATATGAATATTCAAGCGTTATTCAGGTCGAAAAATATAAATTTTTCTAGGCAGACTATGAAAAATCAGTATCTGAAAGTCGGTGAGAACGAAAACACACCAACTCGGAAATTTTTAAACGCTTAATTCTCTGTCATCAAACATGGTGTGTCGATTTCAACTTGGTGCTTTACAAAGTCTCTAAGTACTTGTCTTTTGACACCAAAAAAGTTTTTCTTAAACTAACTTCTTCGCCAGCTGCGCAGTATTAGGTGTTTCCTGAACAATTTTTTTTTTCCGAGTTGGTGTGTTTTCGAACTCACTGATTCAAATACACTAATCAGTACGTTTATTTTTGTATATATTTTTCTTTCAAGAGAATAACATAAGATGGAATTCTCAGCCAGCGTCAAGATTCCTGCAACGAACGTAGTGTTGCGTTGATTGTAACGCCTGAATGCAACTAATACCGCTCGAAGAACATGCTTGTTGCGTATCGCAGAAATTGAAGGCGATCCTATTTTTATTGCTCGCGCAGTGAGTGGTGGAGCATCGCGTGTGTGCTACTTTGCTTTTTTAATATTGTCATCAAACACCCATACTGCCGTGCTGAGGAAAAATGTCGTAAGAACATTCGAGAGTTGCCAAGTTTCCTCGAATAAAACATGTATTTTGGAGGGAAGTTATTCATATTTTTTCTTGAAATTTTCAGATATTTTACATGAAATTGCGAACAAAATTGTCTAAAAATGTTGAAAAAAAAATAATCGAAATTTTCTCAGTTAATTCGGTTTTCCGTGAAGGAAATCTGGTAACGTCTGGAGGCTCATACGGCGTTTTTCCTTAGCACTGCAGCATGCTTCTTGACTGTCATAACACTGTTCAAAATGGCAGCGTTGAGCGGTTTTGTAGAGGAAGAACGTATCCACCAAAATTTTGAAGATATTAATTTCTTCCTCAATTTCTTCGATCCTGTCATTTTGACTGTGATCTTATGAGACAGGTTCTATATAGAACGTTAGTTGATTTTTTTTTGCACCAAAATATGAAGAATAAGTGAGTTGTATAGTCACAGAATCGTGTCTTGATGGTCCGATCTTAAAGATTAGCAAAAAATAATAAAATCTGTGCAAACGCCGAATTTCTACACTGGAAAAAAAACACATTGGATGGATCTAGAGTCCAGACTCTTGAAAACATCGACAAGAAAAAATACTCTTGATTCAATCATATTTTTGCTTGAATCAAAAGGAAATCCGCTCAAATTAAGAGGCTTGGTTATTGATCCAAGCAATAATCCGGTTGAATCAAGAGTATTTTTTCTTGTCGATGTTTTTTAAGAGTCTGGACTCTACGTGTTTTTTTTCCAGTGTACGCCCAGTGTTAACCTGTTAACGGAGTTTTGACTTTGAGGGGAGCCAAAAAATGTCATAGGCTACGCACCTGCCAGAAGTATCTCCGAGGATGGATAGAACGAACTTGTGGAGAGGAAATTTGGCCGATGCATCGCTCCAGTAAATCGAGCCATCCGAACCGATGTCGACGTCATCTGGCAGTTGAGGCACTTCACCATCGATAGGTTTATTTGCCGGGATCGCCAGAGAAACGGCACCTTAAAAATTACACACTCCAATGAAAATCATCGAAAGATTGTCAATTATTTGGAGATACCTAGGGGTGCGGAGCTTGTATACAGGGTGGCCCTGACCTACCGTACCAGGCATTTATTTCGGTTAATATGGGTCGCACGAAGTCCAGGATCGCGGAGATGAATAGGGAATTGACCCCAAGGAATCCGAATTCCATGGTCCCACACTGAGAAAAAACTATGGCTTATAAACCTATTAGAGGTAAATATGGAACACCACTAATAGTAGTACCTCTACATATAATAATAGCACATATACCTTAGTTATGGTACGGGGTACCTTAATTAGGTACAGAGACCTTAGTATGGTTCACAGACCGAGAATCATTAGTTTATTTACGACTATTATAGGTGTTCCATATTTACCTCTAATAGGTTTATAAACCATAGTTTTTTCTCAGTGCAGAGCCCCCCTGGCGCCCCTTGGGAGGTAAAGGGGGGGGTCCGTACTTCAAAAGTCAGGGTTTATGTCAAAATTTTGAAATTATTTCATCGGAATCAGAACGTACGGAAATTTAAACTTTAATCGACACCAAGAAATCCAAAATCGGCACATCCGTTTCCAAAATACCTACCCCTAAAGGTGGGGGACAGAGCCCCCTTTCAAAAAAATTCAAGTTCGTAAAATTGACGTGGAGACTCGGAAAAAATATGAATTCATGGGTAATCGACCCCAAGGAATCCAAATTTGAGGGTCCCGTTGTCCTCAGAGACTTTTCTCATGGGGCACAGGGGGACTCTGAACTTTTAAAGTCAATTTTACGAACTTGAATTTTTTTGAAAGGGGGCTCTGTCCCCCACCTTTAGGGGTCGGTATTTTGGAAACGGATGGGTCGATTTTGGATTTCTTGGTGTCGATTTAAGTTAAAAATTTCCGTACGTTCTGATTCCGATGAAACAATTTCAAAATTTTGACATAAACCCTGACTTTTGAAGTACGGACCCCCCTTTACCCCCCAAGGGACGCCAGGGGGGCTCTGGGACCATGAAATTCGGATTCCTTGGGGTCAATTCCCTATTCATCTCCGCGATCCATGACTTCGTGCGACCCAAATTAACCGAAAAAAAAGGCCTGGTACGGTAGGTCTGGGCCACCCTGTATACAAGTATTTATTGTTTTCTAACCATCGGTAATGCTCGAAGACAAGAGATCCTCCACGGGTATCTTGACAATGGTGGAAGCTTTTATTTTCGGGATTTCAACATTCAACTGCTGACCTAACTTCTAAGTGGATGGTTAACACGTTTTCTCAAGCGTGGTAGTGATCGTTCGATGGATTAACTACAAACACTAAACATGCCTTAAAAATTCAAGCCGTTTATAAATTACTCATCTCTGTTCTCCTAGGTATCGAAGGATAAAGATAAACCAGCTGTGTGTCATGTTTTTTTTCTTTGATCAAAATCTAAAACGGTGCGTAAAAAGTCATACGAACTCGCCATTTCCGCCCATATAAACACGTGGTATGCTAATAATGCCATGTTGTTACCAAACTGTCTACTTCAACCTGTTTAGCTACGTACTTTTCCCGACTTTTTTCATTAAAAACGTTGAGCGAAAAACTCTTTTCCGCCTCGGTACCGTTCGTGCGGTCTTTCAATACACATTTTCTACGTTTTTTTCCTTGACGAAATCACTCCGGAAAAAGACAACTTTCGTGCCTGCATAATTTGTGGTTTTAGGATACATAGGCACTATCGAATATGAAGAAGGAATATCCTGAGCAAATGAAAAATGTACTCGCTCAATCTTTCTTTTCATGAAAGGTTCCGTCTAAGAAAAGATGCTCAAAATCTGTTCGCTGTTTTTGCCTACAGTGTGGCAGTGCTAGGGAGATACATTTACTTGTTCATTAAACCATTTCTCTTTCGCATAGAATCGTCAATATGTTTGAGGTATATCAACGTTGAAGCTCTATGTGTCTGTTTGCGACATTGCAGATTTTCTGTCATACTTTTTTTCTTTTTTTTTTTAAATTTTAAATGGGGCACTAAGTAATCAACGTCAATTCTTAAAAAAACATTCGAGATTCAGAGATTGAAGTCTGAAAAAATTTCAAGGAACGATGTTGATTTGTTAGCCTTTAAAAAATAAAAGTTGAGAGGAGATTTATAAACACCGCAAATAAGGAACATTGTCTGGGAGTTTCTCCCTCGATGTAGTGACAGATAAAGATCATGCTAAATCTAAGAATAAACAAGTTGGATTTTGCAATCGCTAGCGATAGCAATATTCGTCATGGGAACGTTAGCTTCTGGGATATGAAAATGTTAAGGTACAGTTCGTTTGTAGTATCTTCTGAATTGAAGGGGCTATGTAATTTTGTGTTGACATCTCTTTTTTAACATTTTTAATTATTTTCTTTGCATACAAGAAAGCTGTTATGTACCTATTATTTATTTTCGTTGGATTATATATGGTTTTCGGAAGTTAACGCATTTAAGTTTCAGGTTCGCTTTTTCGGCGTAAAGTATACGTAAGGTGTCCCAAAAGCACCGGGACTTGTTCTGTAACTTCGAAAGTAAGATAGATACAGACATGATCTTGATTTCATTTTAAAGATCAACTCAATACCTATCGATTAAAACCAAGATCAGCTCAATCGGATAAAAATTGACCGAGTTATGGCAATTTGAAATCAGCGAGGAAAGTTTACGCCTACGGTTTTTAAGGAAGATTCTTCATCGCCGTAAATCGAAAAGTCGGCCGATAAAGTGATGCTTATTGTGTTTTTTTATTTTCGAGGTGTCATTTATCAACATTTTGTACCATCAAACACAACAGTTGACAGTGCGTATTATTGCAAAGTACTAAAGGAGTTGAGAATGCACATTTCCCGGAAACGGTCGGACTTGAAAGCTTCGTGGATACTCCATCAAGACAATGCGCGGCCTCACACATCGAGCTTAACACGTGAATTTATGAGTAAAAATGGAGTTGAAACAATCCCTCATCCCCCTAATAGCGCTGACTTGGCTCCATGTGATTTTTGGATGTTTCCCACGCTTAAAAAGGAGCTTCGCGGACGAAGATTCGTATCGAAGACCGAAATCCAGAATGCAATTCAAAACTTCTTCAACTCCATCCCAGAGGAAGAATTCAGGAAAACAATGTTGGATAAGTGGCAAGAGCGCATGAAAAAGTGCATCCGGTTTGATGGACGGTACTTTGAAAAGCAAAAGGAAATTATGGAAGATTCGGAGGAAAGTGGATACGAATATTAACTTTTTGAATCCTGGTAAGCGAAAAATCTTCCTAAAAACCGTAGGGGTAAACTTTCCTCACTAATTTCAAATTGTCATAACTCGGTCAATTTTTATTCGATTGAGCTGATCTTGGTTTTAATCGACAGGTATTGAGTTGATCTTTAAAATGAGACCAAAATCATGTCTGCATCTATCTTACTTTTGAAGTTACAGAACCAGTCCCGGTACTTTTGGGACACCCTACGTATGATATTTTTACTCTACACATATGCCCGAATACGCATCATAAGGGACCTATGTGCTTCCTAAGTTGCCAAGTATTAATTATTGTTAGATTATTGGTCTAAAACATTCAATACAACCAGTAAAAATTAGCTGTCCCCTACGAGTTTCGAACCCCCGCTCCCACAAAAAGTGCCACTCTCCCAGGGTCAGAACGGTGTTGTAGTTATCTGAGCTATCTCGCCGCTCGGATATGGGAGGAGAAAAAGAGAACACTTAAGTGATCTCGGACGCTGAGCGGGGCTTCACAAAAGACGTCCTTGAGATTTCAACGGTTCGGCCACTGGCGTGGTAAGAGAAAACGGATCAAGCCCATTACCCTGTGAGACATTGTTTACCTATGCTGTCATGTGTCACAAGGTTCATGTCAGAATGCATTTGCGATCGCGGCAGTAAACTGAGGCAATATTTCTGTATTCATGGATTAAATCCATCAATCGAGTTCTGATTTTGGCTCATATATCCGTAACGGGTCCTCTAGAAAAATTTTCCGCCTTGTACGATGGTTATTATTTCTTTATATCTATGTTTAAAATTTGAGGTGGGATAATGGCGGCTTCTCAAGAGCAACGACGTAGGCGATCTTTTGCACCAACGAACAGAAAACTGATGGCGAAAAATAACCAATCGGAACCTCCCAAAAAAAAGAATTTGCCTAAAAACGGAACTTCGTGGTTCTGCGCAGATTTACCAGTCAGACACGACATCTCAAGGTGGAAAAAAACTCGCTGAAAGCGAATTTTAGCAATCAACACAACTTGACGTAGAGACATGATTGGCTAAAAAATACAACGGTTTTTGATACATCGGAAAATCAACCAAAAATCGGAGACTGGGTGAAACGCTCAAGGTCGCAGAGGTATAGGGAATCCCAAAGCGAAAGCAACGGAACGATTGTAATATCATGGGGAACTCCGTTCCCATGCTGGGTGAAACGCTCAAGGTCGCAGAGGTATAGGGAATCCCATAGCGAAAGCAACGGAACGATTGTAATATCATGGGGAACTCCGTTCCCATGACAAAAATGGCTGGTTTTCCTGGTTTGTTAGCGTGTTGAAATATAACTTACATTCTTTGATTATATTACCAACTGAAGGTCTTGGAGTACCTATTGTTCAATGTGCTTTTCATATGTTCCAAATTTGGAATTAACGAACTCTCACTGTACTATCATTACGTCGCTATTAAATAAAGTCTAACGTGCTTAAAATATCGAAGTTGAAAGTCAAAAAACACGTAACTCGATTTGAAACTCTGCAGATTTTTCATCTCCTCTTGCCTCTTTGAAAGGACACTAAAGAATATCATTACTTGAAATTTTTGCCGATTGTCTTCATCTTTATGATAAAATCTGTAAAACTTTCAAGCAATAACAGCCAGCTTTTAAATTAAATAAAACAGCGACGGAGATTTTAAAATTTCGTATTTTTCAATTTTCTACATGTAACATTGATTTTTCTTTGTTCGTCTCTTCAATCGTTTATTTACTTTATCGATGACTGAAGTGCGAAAGCACGTATACTCCTTGTAACTCCCTCCTCCTTCAGGAGTAACTCCTTGGTATTGGTGGATTTGGACCGCGTTTAGCAGAAAGGAATCCAACCACAGCAGCTATTTTTTGACTCGACAATTTAATTTTTTACGAGGACGTTTGGACAGACTCGTTCGAAAATTTTAAGGAATTTGCTTCGTTCCATACAAAAAGTTCACTGAAATTTGCACAAATATCCGCACAACAGTTATCATGGAAAAAATTAAATGGTCTAATCAAATTTGGCAATAGCTTATTGGCAATAGTGGCTTGATTTATTTCTGCTTACACGGTCCATTGCTCTCTGTGATCTTGCAACTTTTCTGAGAACATATTCTCAATGGATTATTCTGAGAGAGCTGTCTCGATGCTGTCCCCGATGTTTCAGAATTGCCTCTTCAATTTTACTTTTTCGAAGAGAAACATATCATAGCTTGTTTATACAGAATAGTCTTCCGACAGAGAGGAAAAATCAAAAAACAATTTTCAAGAGATAATTATGTTGACCCGGTTTCCAAGAGGAAAATAAAGCTTGACAGGAAGTCTAGTTGCGACTTCGCAAACGGAGGTATGTGCGGTTTTTAATTTATACGGAATATTCTTCCAACAGAAAGGAAAAATCAAAAAACAATTTTCAAGAAATTATGTTGACTGGTTTCCCAAGGAGAAAATAAAACATGACAGGAAGCAAGTCATGACCTCTGACCCCCTGAATTTTCATTTTTGTCACAGTCTGATCTACCGTTCTACTGGACCGATTTCGAAAATTTTGGCGGATATCGATCCTAGGTGATGGTTCCTAAATGAGCCCGTTCTATTCAGATTTTGGAGATATGACGCATGTTGACGGTGTAAGTCGGCAATCACAAAACTCGGTTTGCGACGTCGCAGACTTCCTATCATATTTTATTTTTTGAACGAAACTACTCAACGGCAATCCATTAAAACTGCCGTGATTTTCCTCTCTGTGCGAAGACAATTCTGCAAAAACTTCGATGAATGATCTCAATTTGTTCTCTTTTAAAAAAATAACATAGAGGCGGAGATTTTCAGACACCGCAAATGAGTTATGTGATTGCCGACTGACACCGTCGATATGTGAATATGTAACATGATGAAGTTGCAAATTCTCTCATTCAAGCGATGTAAATTCTCAATTTTTGTCACAGTTCCTTACTGTAGAGATCCATCGGGCCGATTTATATGATTTTAGCGGCTATCGATGAGATTTAGTCCCTAAATAAGCCCGTTCTATTTAGATTTTTGAAATATGGCCCAAATGTTCATATGGATCGCATTTTGCAAGAAGGAACCAAGAACATTCCAATGTTGCTAAGATTTTGCAAATTTGTTTGCCTCGCACATATACACAGATTATCTAAACTAATTTTATCTTTACTCCCAACAAACTATAATTTTAAGACGAAAATTACCTTATAAATTTAATTTTTTTGCATGATTCCAGTAATTTTATTGAATGAATGTAAGATACACAATCTTAGCAACATTGGAATGCTCTTGGTTCCTTTTTGCAAAATGCAATCCATATATGACATGGTAAAGTTGGAAATCCTCTCACTCAAGCACTGTAAATTTTCAATTTTTGCCACAGTTCCTTCTAGAGATATACCGGGACGATTTCCATAATTTTTGCGGGCCTTATAGAGCCTGAAGCGCCGCACAGTGGATTGAGTCAATTAGAAAGGTCGGACATAAAAGTTTTGACTAAAACTGCAAATTTTGGTGTTTATTTCGTCACTTCTCAAATTGTAAGGGGTGTTTCTAGAAGAAAATTTTACGAGGGAACCAATGGAACCACTTTTAAAACCTCTAAGTTTTGTGTAATTGGAGTTATGAGCGTTTAAAGTTTCCAAATTTTGTCCGACCTCTCCTATGGACTCGATCCACTGTGCGCCGTCGGGGGGCGGGGACCACACCATCCAGTGCTTTGATAGGCACACTAATCGAATTGAAATTTATAAAAGTTAAACTCACCTGTCGTGATGTTTACTTTGTAGATGCCGGTGTAACAATCAACGACGAACAAGTTTCCTGCTTTGTCGAACTCCAACCCCAAGATATGACCACAGTGTCCGTCTTCGTGCTTTTCTGGGAACAAAAAAACAATCTTCTTCAATGATACGATAATTTTAAATTGAATAAAAAGCGAAAAACGAAGCAAATGATGTTATACAAATTTCTCTAATTGTATGTACAGGAACGTTCTGTCGTTATTTTCCACATCGGACATTTTTTTAAAACCACCGGATTTCCCGTTATTTCCACATGATTCCGGTTGCCATACTATGGCAAGATCATCCACTTAATTTTGAGTTTTTGAGGACTGGGGTCCTTATACCCGTGTACGGTCACAATACTTTCGTGCTAACAGTGACTTGGCGTGCTTTGCGATATATCGATTGTTCTGCCATTTAAACCTATGGAAAAGGATTGATAAACAGGGCGTTTGCAGCGAACACCTTAATAATCGATTCTTTACCTTCGATTTAAATGGCAGAACAATCGATACATTGTAACTCACATCACGCCACTGCGTACTAAGTAAAAACTCCGTATGAGTTTTGGAATGTTGTCCAATTGTCTCCCAAGCTCAAAAAAAGCTTTCAAGTTGAGGCCAAAATGGAGGGGATATCCCACGCTATCCTGAGAGTCCACCTCTACATCAAAACAAACTCTCCATGCGAAGATAGGGAACAAATACATTGACAGGGCTGCCACTTTATTTGGGGACTCCAAAACTGAAAACACGGCAACCCTGCTAGTGTATTTGCTCCCTATCTTTGCATGGAGAGTTTGTCTTGATGTAGAGGTGGACTCTCGGGATAAAGTGGGATATCCCCTCCATTTTGGCCTCAACTTGAGAGTTTTTTTTGAGCTTGGGGGTTGATTTCAGAGCAAACCAGTGGCACCATCGTGTTTCTCGCGAACTTCTGCATAAGAATCAACAGTAAAATCGCAAATTCCTCGCACATGCAACACCTCCATTCTTTCATGAAAGGCGATTTAAATGGCCGAAGCTGTATTATTCTACCACAGAGCCAATGCGAGCTGCACTTTTAAGTACAGTTTCGCCCTTCTCTGCCGATTTCTAACCTAAAATTTGTTTGTTAGTGTGTTCTAACGCAACCACAAAAACATGAAGAGGATACAACTATTGCTAGGAAGATCGCCATATGAATCATGCCTAAATTCCCTTTGAAAAAAGACGAATTTTCGGTGAAAGTGTGAACCCATATCAATTCAGCGATTTCGCGCCGTGTACATAGCAGGGTAGAGTTTTAACCAGCTTTGCTGAAGCTAATTTTGTCCTCAGGGAACTCAGACCAGCGACCTGTTACGTTGAAGCGAACGTAGGGTGAACGGTTTGGGTAGCAACGAAAACCAGAGTGCCTTCAAGTTTTCGTATATGCAACACGGGCGTTCATATAGAGTACGAATAGTTGCATCCACGCGCCGTGGATAATGGACAACACTATTGCCGCGCTAAGGAAGAACGCCGTATGAACATTCGAGAGTTGCAAAATTTCCCTTAATGAAATATGTATTTTTGACAACAATCATGCATATTTGTCCGTGAAATTTTCAGATATTTTAGATTAAATTGTGTACAAAATTGTCTGAAACTTTTAGAAAATAATATTCACAATTTTCCCAGTAAATTCGGTTTTCATCGGAGAAGACTTGGCAACGCCTGAAGGCTCATACGGCGTTCTTCCTTAGCACGGCAGGACTAGCTCGTCGCATAGCTTGGTTGTAAAGGAAAGGCACCGGCGCCTTGCACTGCCATGTTAAAGAAGAACTCCGCAAAAATCTGCGGACGTTGCTAAATTTCGAGGAAATAGTGAATATTGCGCAAAGTCTCATTTGAATCCAACGTGCGCCGCAGAGTAGAATTTAAATACACACTTTTATAAGTCGTAATTATATATAGTGTTGTGCCAAACGGCGTATCTCTTATTGAGGGTTAAATTGTGCTCATATGAGCTTATTCTCTCTGCATTCCCTTGTAAAAATTGGCGGTAGAATCTGTGTTCCAAAATACCATAGACCTACAGCCGGCTGTAAGATTTCCAATAGCTTCTATAGCCGGCTACTCAATTTCTTATAGCCTTTCATAGCCGATGGCGACTAAGCAACAGCCAGGCGAAAAAGTGTATGCTAAACGTTACTAATTACGGATGCTAAGACTTAGTGAGTTTTTGGACTACTGCTGTCTTTTTGGGCCGTAGTATCTTGATTTATTTTGCGAGGAAAGCTCCATACTTTTGATGGATGCCTGCCAGTCCTAATATATTAGAGCGCCTTCAGTTTCGTATGATACTGTGCAATACCTCTGGTGTGAAAGAGTTGCTTCAAGTGCCGTGTCACTCCGCAGCGCGGCGGGCAACCAGGCGCGTTGGCGCCTACAAACCTAACGGGGATACTTCACGCGTTGCGCAATGCGTGAAGTATCCCTGTTAGGTTCGTAGGCGCCAGTGCGTCGCCGCTCTGCTTTGTGTTAGTCAATCTGGCGGAGTCAGCGTTATCCAACTCATGATTTTGAAATGTTTGCACATCCTGTATGGATTATTTTTGTTTTAATTAATGAAAAATAAATATGTATTAAAGGAAAATATAATGTGTGTTTTGTAAATATTGAGGTGGTTCCGTGTCAAACTTAATGATTTCCAAAGCATACGAATTTCTACACAATTTCCTATAGCCTTTTATAATCGATGGCGAAAAAGCAACAGCCATGCGATAAAGTGTAAAGCCCGGTGATAGAAACTAAAGCCCGGCTGTTCACATGTAATTTTTTATCGCTTCGAATAGCCCGGCCGTATGATTTTCTCCGCATTCTACAGCCAGCTATATGATTTTCTGTAGCCTTGTTTAGCCGGCTATATGAATTCCCATGGTATTTTGAAACGCAGCTCTTATCGCCAATTTTTACCAGGGTTGAGATTTTCAACTTTAAGCTGATTTTTACGCACGTTGGCTAAAAAATTCCAACTAACAATTTTAAATACTTTTTTGAAGCCTGTTCTATACTTAGAAAACCTAATTGATATGAATTGGACTACATTTTGCAATTCGGAATCACAATTCCCGTCTCATCTGTGAAAACATTTACCTATGTGCACAGGAAAATTAATGGTACGTGCGTTCTTTCTGAACTGAGCCAGAAATTGTAGTTCTTAATTGGAAAATGCTTTCCAATTAGGAGTAATTTCCGTTTTGCGAGAACGTAGTTGACCCCGCAAAAATATTTGTTTCTGCTTTGCATTTCATGGGAACAAAATTGACTCCGGAATGAAGCACACTGCGGATTTCAATCCATTAATTTTAACAATGTAGAACATTCCCTCACGCTCTGATATCGACAGCTCAATTTGGAGTTTTTGTGACTAGTGTCCTTTTTCCTGCTTAATACAACGCCCGAAACTCAACGATGAACTGCAATACTGCCGCGCTAGGGAAAAACGACGTATGAACATCCGGATGTTACCTAATTCCCCTTTGAAAAACATCTACTTTTGGGGGAATTCATGAATATTTTTTCTTGAAATTTTCAGATACTATAGATTGAATTTTTAAATAAACTCTCGGAAAAATTTGGAGAAAAATCCCCACAAAATTCCTTGAAAATTCGTATTTTATCAGACGATATTTGACAGCGTCTGAAAGCTCATACGGCGTTCTTCCTTAGCATGGCAGCATAAGTGGGCGGCTGAAAGTATGTATGTTTACCTCGGTTAATTGATCGCTAATTGTTGGTTCCACTCTGTTGAAAAATTTACGGATGATTCTGGCGTTCAGTAGATAAGTCTCTTCTGCTAGCGAGTAGTTTGAGCTTAAAATATGACCTACGTGATTTTCAGTTATATCAGAGGTAATGTTACCTAATGGTCGACTGCATGGTGCAAACGAATTTGCGTCCATGCAAAACAGCAATTTTTGTGGGCAATTGGACCGCGTTAAGCAGAAAGGAACTAAGCATCATTAGCTATTGCCAAATTAAACTGGACAGTTCAATTTTTTACGAGAGGACGTTTAAGCAGAGTCGCGCCGATGATAGGTCGATCAGCGAGACGCGTCTTTTCGTTAATTAAAAAATCGTCTAAAGTGAGGTTTTTAAAAAAAAAAAAAATATATACATTTTTAAGGGTTTTGTACTCACTTTTTACAAGTCTTTCAACATATACATTTTTTTTTATTAATTACCTAGGTAACTCACCTAACCATCGCTCCCTCTTTTAGAAAACATTCCTAACTTTTTGTACCTATAAGCACTTTCCCTGCCAACGTTCCAATTTGAGCAGAAAAAGTGTAAAAGTGTTATAAAAGTGTGGTGGAAACTTTGGCGGTAGAGCTGAAAAAACGCGAATCGCGGTGTTACAAAGCCTCCGCTACGATTACATTTTATCTGACTAGAAAAAACTAACGCTATCGCTAGGTATTTTAACAGGATATTCCTCGCATAGAGATGAAAAATCAGAGAGCAGAGTTTCACGAAATGACGTTATTTTTCATTTCAGAATCAAAGTACGACAGGAAGTCTGCAGCTTTAAATCGAGATTCGCTTTTTCGCAGTTTCATCAATGACTTGTTGATACACTATCGATAAACTTAATCAGTGGTGTCACTCCCCCCCTAGGTACTTGACGAGTTCCCCCCCCTATTTCATTACTTTTCACCCCCCCTTTAAACAGCCGCGAATTTCCAGGGGGCGGCCCCCTCCCCCGACGGGGGGTCAGGGGGGCCTCCCCCGGAAAATTTTGAAAATTTGATGCTCTCTAGAAGCAATTTGAGGCTATAGTCAGCAGTTTTGTCTCCGATTCCACTGCAGAAATTTGCGTAGTTTTCGGTGTAAATATATATAATTTTTTTTAAAAAAAAAAAAAAAAACTTAGGTAAGGATGAATATTTATGGATGCCTTCTCCGTACAGATACATTGAGCAATTTTATTTCCATTACAAAAAATAAAAAAGTAAAAATTTATTTCATTCGTGGAATTAAAAGGGCCCCCTCAAAGGTTCATTAAAATCTACCATTAACGATGCCGGAAGTTTCTCTTTTTATTTTGAATAAAACCTCCCCCCCCCCAACTTTAGGCTATCCCTTTCCAATCCTTACCGACGACACCCTCCTTAAATTTTATCAGAAGCTATTTCCATGGTCTTCATCTAACATAAATTTGACTAGGCTGCTCCCTTTCCGTAAGCAAGTTCGATCCTAACTCGACTGAGCTCCCCCCCTACCACAACTGAGCCCCCCTTACCTCAACTAAAGGTCCCCTCAACCTTTCGTGAGCTACGTGTAGTAACATTATTATTTTTCTTGACATTAAATGAGCTTTCCTTTTAAAATCCAGAAAATGATGCTTACGATTAGAACTAACAGTAGCAGTGTCTTGCATATATGTAGGTAAATGCCCCCCTTGAAAAAATAAAAATAAAACAAACGGGCAAGAAAGATGAAGGGATAAGAAAAATCGTGAAGGAGAGAAAAGAAAGAAAAGCGGGGGAGAGAGCAAAATATGGGGGATGAAGGATCGGGAGAAAAGGAAAATGGGGGGAGAGAAGAAGAATAGAGGGGGAACAGGAAAACGAGGGGCGGAGAGAGAACAAAATATGGGGGGAATGAAGGATAGGGGAGAAAAGGAAACTGGGGAGGAGAACAAAATATGGGGGGGAATGAAGGATAGGGGAGAAAAGGAAACTGGGGGGG